AACTACGTTCCCTCCATGACCATGGCTGTTAGAAAGCACCCGAAACTTCGGTCAGTGAATAAATAAATTATAACTATTATATAAAATAAAATATACTTTATTCTCTTTTGAATGTTAAAAATTATTATGATTCGTCAAGAAAGTTTTGTTTGTCTGTCTGTTCGTCGTGATTCTAGTGTTCAAAAGAGCAACATAACTGAGAAGAACACTCAAGAAACTCAGTCCGGCTTTTTTAAATATGTCTTATAAACTAATACATTGTTGTGAATTCACTTACTTAAGGAGCAATTCATATTACTGCCAGGCGGTCTTGTCATTTAAGAAATCGTTCACACAATGATACGCTTTTTGTGACAATCTAAAGTTTATAAATTTATTTATCGATAAATTTTAAACCTCAACTGGCAATGTATTATACATAGGAATAGGATTCCCCGAATAGTTCGCGCTTTATACCGTTAAAAGTGTTTTATTTGAAAACATAATAATTTACCGCCTAATGTAAGCATTCCGGAGACTTAATACTCCATTTAAATATACCAATATAAGGAGAGGGTTAATCACATTACATAACATCCAAGTTCATATACTTTTTAAAAATACATGCCTTTCAACATCCCAATTCAGCTTTTATCAGTTTATCTGTACATCAAATACCCTTAATTAGCGAATGTGAATAGAATATAGGTATTTCATGAAATGCAAAAAGTTTTTATCTGTCTAAGATCGTTAAGGTGTCCACAAAAAAGGAAATCGCAAGTTTAAAGCACTTTACCTTTACTTACTATTCAATACGATCTTCAATCATTTATGGGTAGCCAGTAAATAAAATGTGTTATAATCTGTGGTGAAATAAATCTCAATAGATTAAAGAAGTATTAAAAATAGCATTTATCTATATTATCGAATTCGAAAGTTTTATTTTAGAATGTAATCTGTAGCGTTCAATTAAAAACTGCAAAAAAGTTCGATTCCAACTATTTAGTGACAGTTGATAACGACCGAGTCACAATCGGGCGGTGGCGCGTGGCGACACTCGGAGGCACGCGCGATGCCGCGATAACATTCCAAATTCAAAAACGTTCCAAATTTAATTAAATTAAGATTCCGGAACGCGCTCATTTGATCTAATGCAACGATACGGAGTTCAACGAATCGAATTCGACGTTCCACATTCAAACATAGGGTCTGATTTTCTACCCTCACAGCGGTGTTGCTTAATTAATGATCCAATGGTAGAAAGGTAGTTTACAATTTGAATTTTATTTTTCTAACGTTACGATTCATTTGGACGTTAACGTTTGAATAGCGTGTTCGCGTTGGTAATTAGGAAGGGAGCATGATACACCAATGTAATCTGTATTACGGTGCGATAAAAACGAAAGCGCTTTACTGTCGCCTTCCGTGACGCCGTATCGTTTGCTAAAAGTCAGTTTTGTAGCGTTTTATGAAGAGTAATAATCGAATTAATATCGAGAATCGCTTAATTAAATAGATATGGTGAGTGTGGGGGCGATTTTTTGGGATTGGCGTTTATTGCGTTAGTTATGCGTCATGTTTGTTATACAGCGGGGAATAATTACGTTTCTGATGCCACTTTGTTCTAGAGCTCGCGTGCAAAGGACCTCGATAAAATATATTAATGCCGTAATATATAGCACTACGTAAAGCAATATTTTTAATGTCCGTTGCCTTGACCCCTTGCTAAAGTTTTTAAAGTTAAGTTTAGGTCTTCCTAGTATTTTATATCTAAGTGCGCGATGAAGAGTTAATAAATAAATCAATTATACGAATAAAACGGTTTATAATGTATTTCCAATTTTTTAATTAGCTCGTGATTCCTAATATACATATATAGCCTTTTAAAAATGTTCACTAAGTGTATTATACGTGCGTGAAATAAAAGGCAATATGATTATACTATATTTACCGGAGACGTAAATGTTTAATATAAGCGTGGATATTAAATTTATCAATTAAATTGTTGTTAGTAAAATATATATTGTTTGTAATTTGAATTTGGTGATAAATAAATATTTATGGAATTATGATTAACGCAAGTAGAGACAAACCTTATTAAAAACAGTAACCACTTGTTGAGCCCCCTCACCGGAAGCGTGTGGTTGGCCGGAAGTAGCGGAAGTTCTGGTTTAGTCAAAAGTGTGCCGATACTTAACACCCCATCGGAGCACGCGAAATAACAAGTAAACTGAACGTTGCGTGGGAGAAATGTTTAACATATTAATTAAGAAAAAATAGTAATGTAAAAATATTTTCTGTAACGTAATTTGTTTGTAAGGGGGTTTAAATATGGTGAGTACTGGCATTCCATGAGTAATTATATTCCTAATAGAATGATAAAGTAAAGTAAATATAGGATAACATATTTTCTACTTACTTACTTACTTACTCCGCTGGCGCAGCGACCCAAGGTGGGTCTTGGCCTTCACAACAAGAGAACGCCACTTCCGCCGATCCTGCGTCACGGTTCGCCACTCGGAGACACCGAGTTCCACCAGGTCAAGCTCAACGGCGTCTTTCCAGCGGTATTTGGGCCGGCCAACGGGTCGGCGGCCGTTCGGGATTCCGAGATACGCCTTCTTGATGCTTCGGTGCTCTTCCATTCTTTCGACGTGGCCGGTCCAGTGGAGGCTTTGAGCTTGAGCTTCTCCCATGATGTTTCCTCGTTCTTTCGCGGCCACCAGCTACCGTCTTCCTTCTGTGTCGGTCCCAGAATCTTCCGCAGTATTTTGCGTTCTGTCACTAATAGCTTTTCCTCATCTTTGAGTTTTAGCGCCCACGTTTCGCAGCCGTATAGAAGGATTGGTCTAATGACTGTTTTATAAGTCCTTATCTTTGTCGTCCTGGTCAGCAATTTAGACACTAACACCTTGTGGAGAGCCGCACTACAACGGAGGGCGTTTTGGATTCGGATGTAACATAATTTCTATGTCCAGTTTATTTTAAATTTAGAGTACATATTTCCAAATTGAATTGAATGTTATAATATAAGAGCAATATTGCTTGGCACATCTTTTGTCTTATAATAACTATAAAATTTAAGCAAAGTGTTTAACCAAAAATATAAATTTCACTATACTCCCTTGAATTTACGAAAATAAATCTTTTTAAATGTGTCTGCCTTTCAATAGATATCAATTCAAACATAATATTATGTCGTTCTCATAACAAAAATCAAATTTTCAGTTCATTTAGTAAAAATATTACATTGCAACAAAATATACCTATTTATGTTTAAAAATACGTCTGCCCGGCTTATTTTACCCAGAAGTATTGTTAATTTTATACGTCGTGATATATAGATATACTGGTGGGCGTTTGTTCATTAAACCCACGAGTTGAAAATGTCCATCAACTTTGTAATGTCCGCGACGGGTCATAATTAAAAATGAATTAACTCATGTAGTTCACGGTTTATATCGTTAATGTATACCATACGCGTTACCTAAAAAAGGAACCCTAAATAAAATGACTATAATAGTGTTAAAAAGAAAACAAAATAATTATGTATATTATTTTATTCATGTCTTACTATTAATTACAATAATACAGCAATTTATGAAGATAGTCAACTACTATCAATAAATAACTTTGACATTTTAGAGTAGCGGCCTTAGTCTAGCAATTAAGTTACGTTAGCAATATGGCAACACTATACAAGATTATACCTATTTTGGTTTTCTAGCAGTAACAGAAACCGGTGGAAAATCACATTTTGTTTTAATTTACTTAAATCTTTAATGTGGAAATTAAAATACGAAAAGATACGTATAAGTTTTAAAGAGTTGCTTCAACTATACTTGTAGAATAAGTACATCAGCGTTGCTTCATTAATTGCAGATAGGCCACTTCGAGGATTACTAAATTTAATTACCTGTTTCTATGATTAACGCGATAATAATTAAGCACTATCTGTCAGAATAATGAACCGACGATTATGTATACGCAACATACAGTATTTAAATAAAACACTTTAGCGGTTTAACTAATATATCGCGTTTTAAACCGTTAAAGTATTGTATTTAAATGTGTACTACTCGCGTAAACTACAAAAAGTATACAACATACAGTAGTAGATTGAAACAAACTACCCTCATTTTATATTGATAAAAATAAATTTCGGTTAGGATTTTTCTAGAACATTAAACAGATTACTTCCTAATATTTGGCAAAGCGTAACAATTATTTAGAAATAAGTTCATTAAATATATCTTACACGAAAAGCACGTTCGTATTGCGTCTAAGTATGTACAATTGGCTAGCGCTTTAATTTAAAAACTATTTACAAAATATACAAATGTGCAATGACAATAAATTTGTACGTTACATCCTTATGCGTTTGTAAGTGGGCAATTTTGGAGGAAAAGGCTCGCAAACAAATAAAAAAACATAGCTTTATATGTCCTAACATTACTAACTAGACACTGCTTACTTTCATACCCAGAAATTTAATGTTCATATATATATCTTTTCATATCTTTATAATGTTAAGTACGTTAGAATAAAATTTAGTAAAACTTAAATCCATTTTTGTTGTATTTCCTGAGAAAATTTAAAAATGTAGATATACATTAGTCCTTAAGTTGACTGGTGAAAAAAGTAAAACGTTAAGAGCCTTTTACAGGCGTTTATACATGTACTAGCGACCCGCCCCGGCTTCGCAATGCTGATACTCGATATGCTACAGAAAAACTATGACAGTTGTATATAAAAAATCCTTTCTCTTGAATCACTCTATCTATTAAAAAAACCGCATCAAATTCCGTTGTGACGTTTTAAAGATTTTAGCGTAAATAGAGACAAAAAAAGCGACTTTGTTTTCTAATATGGGATTTCGATTTCAAATAGTATAATTCGTTTATAGTCTGAGTTGTTCATCAGAGTTGCCCACTTACCACAACTATATGACACTCACAACACAACATGACTAGTTAATACTGTCCGTTCGCCGCGTCACGTCTCGCGGCGTCAAACGGGCACTACACCAAACTGGACAGAGGGGCCCGCGAAGTCACCGGCGACGCGGGCAACGGTTGCAACTGCTGCGGGGCTTGCGGGGGGAAGTACACACCGGATTCACTCGAGAACTGTGGGTGCAACGGCAACGGAGTGTGGGGGATCGTCGTCGGTCTCGACTCGTGGTATAATATCGGTACGCGCACCAACCTCTGCGCGGCGTGAGCCATATTAGCCGCTTCCAGTTCCGCAGCCAGCTGCCTCTTCCATTTATTCCGTCTATTTTGGAACCATATCTTCACCTGCGTCTCGGTTAAGTGTAAACTGGCAGCTAATCCGGCTCGTTCTGAGCTGCTCAAGTACCTCTTCATATCGAAGGTGGATTCCAATTGAAAGACTTGGGAGCGAGAGAACACTGTTCTGGTCTTCTTCTTCCGTTTCCCTAAATTGGTGTTTGGATCTCGTTTCTCGTCTTTGTCGAAGTCGTCGCTTTCGTCTATATCGGGGTCTGAGTCTTGAGGGTCTGGCTGCTGCTGGTACAGTGCTGGGTGGAGACGAGGCGACCGCGGTGAGGATCGTGATGGGCTTGGGGGTGAAGGAGCGCGGGGCGGGGTACGCGGGCGCGGGGAACCCCCGGCTGAACCGTCTTCGTTCGTTGTCGAGTCTTCTGTAACAATCGTTTAAGTATTAGTGCCAAACTAACTTTATATTGCTTTATAACGATAACGATGTTTGTATAAAGAATTGTACCATATAGGAAGTAGTTGTAAGGACGCAACCGCTTGAATTTAATAGTATGAAAAATCTTTTAAAACGTACTCCAGCAATATGACATCTGATAATGGTGTGCCATCGACCTTTTTTAACTTTAGACATTTAAAAATCTATGCGCACACATTTAATGTTCAGATTATCCGGGCAGCCTAATGTGTTTCAGAAAAAATATAAACCATTGAAACAATAAACGTATCGAGTTGGCCAAAAACGTGTTTCTAGTAGACACAAATATTTCTTTTGTTCTGAAATGAGCTTTGACGTGATGAGTGATTTAAATAAAATACTGTAACGGTTTAAAACGCGATACAGCAACCATGGTCACGGGGAGACCAAAGCATCTGAAACATCGGGCCATAGTTGAAATAATTTTCAAATAAGTTGTGTATATATATATATATATATATATATAATAACTAATATATATCGCGTTTTAAACCGTTAAAGTGTTTTTAAATGTGTACTACTCGCGTACACTATAGACAGTGATGAGAGTTATAATTGCACCTCAAAAGAAACAAAAGAACTCATACGAACGTAACACTAATCCGCGGAATCGTGAAAATATTTCGATAAATGTTCATTAAATGCTGCTATTAGTGGATTAAGTTGAAAGGTTTCATAATAAACAGACACGATTCGAATCCAATTACGATTGGTTTAGTACGAAACAAATCTAATTGAAGGATTCGGCGCCTTAAATTAGGCAATTTCGCGGCTTTCACGTGTCACTCGGATTAAGTTTTAAGGTTGGGAGATTAGTAATTCTAGCTTTGAGGCTTCGAGTTTATTCGTCTCCCTTCGATGCCATCGGACCGTTTATTTTACACTTATAGAATAACATTTTTATATGACGAACGCAAAGTAATAATCACGACGTGTCCAAAACTATGATACGCTTTTTTAGCTCGTAGAAAATAAGTACGCGTAAAGAATTGATTTTAATTTTCGAACAAGTCAAACCAGTTTCACCCGAAACGGAAGTGACAATGTCGCGATAATTCGAATATTGAATTTCAAAATTCGAACACGACACGAAGGCGCGAAGCCGAATGTCATCAACGCGGTTGAATCACTACAATCGAACCGGGGCACCGGCTGTTTGTCGAGCGATATAACACCGTAAGCCTCATTACTTAAGTCGAAAATCGCTTACACAATTTGCTCAACTTTTAAGATGACTACCCAGCGTAAGTTGACACCCCGGGCGATTTGTAAATATAAACGGAGGGAGGTCTCGTTAATTTGTTACCAGCAGCACTGATTCGCATTGATTTTAGAAGCCGTATCGGGTAATCCTTTGTTACCGTTGGCTTGCTGTTTACACAAACGCTTACTAGTTAAGCAGTTTATGAGTCCATTATGCGTTTAGAATATTATTATTTAATTGAGTATTTTAAGTTGACTAATAGGTGATATTGAGCAGAAGAAGCTTTGCTCGAAACTAATGAGGTCATAATACGCAGTCGTTACTCGTTTTAGACGCGCCATTTTCTAGCTTAGATGACCTGCCGTTAATCAGCGTGCTCCACAATCTATCCAGGTAATGAAGGTAAAAGAATTGAAGCTGGCTGCTCTCATAACAATAAGCTTCGATCAGAAAAAAAATAAAAAAGACCAGCAAATGCAGTGACAACTATCCGAACAAACCACATTCGAAAATTAAAACAACCGCGACATCACCAAATGCCAACATTGCTTTTGGCGCGAATGCCGATTAATACAAATGGCGCGCGCGCGAGCGGGATGGATATAGCTTTGACAGTTCAGTGTTGCTATACATATAAATGTAGTAGGATGGTAGAAAAGCATTGTTCGGTCGGTTTGGGCCGCGTGAAATGGCGTTCGCTTTGTTTTCCCCGGAGATGGGTTTTGGAAAATTAAAGCGAAATGAGCGGGGTTGAGAGAGCAGACGGGATGACGATTGCTTGTTTACCATAAATATAGCGCAGGAAAATGTGAGAAGTTTCGTTTTATACTTAAACAAAAGATCTGTCTTATGTATGTCGGAAATTATTTTGGTAGTTTTTGTAACTGTAATTCCGGGGAATGACATGGCGCCTAACTTTTGCCAGGCTAATTTGTCTATTGTTCCACTTTAAAATGGAAACATATATATCTTACCTGTATGTACATATTAAATACGATACTCGTTAAAAATGTATGAAGCTTTGTTACTGAGCTGCACTTTTTTAGTGCGCTGACTAAAAAGGTTTTGGTGAATTTTTAATTTCGAACTACATTTTGTTGCGAGAGCACAAAATGTATAGTTAATTAGTGATCAAGGACATATGTGTTTGAAATTTTTTGTAAAAGTCACATAACAATGACTCTATGTTACAAGAAATTATTAAATATAGAGATAGTAATCATTATTTAAATCATTAATATTTCAAATATTACTATAGTAATTTTGTCCCTCGATGCACAAACCAATTATAAATACAAATATTTTTAATTGTCACAAAAAAAAGATTATTGAAATTGAGGACAAACGGCAAACAATTATTTATAACTGTAACTATGTACTTTTATTATTTTTCTATGCTGTGATGTTATAAGACCTGTTTGGTAATCACACTTAAGCCACGACCTCCTAGATTCTATGTCACATCAATAAATGATTTAAAATATTCTAACAATTTTATATTTAAATTGGAATCACTGCTATAAAGCGGCAACAAGCATATAAAATCCAAGCCACATCGATTGTAGGAGGCCGTAGCGGTGCTAATCCGTGTTACAGTGACATCATTCGCGCCATTATCGTGTCCAGTGTTGCCATAATCGCACCTTACATAACTAATACGTTCAATTTTAGTAGTTATGACCTTAATACCGCGGGATCGAGGTTATATAGTAATATTGTTTTATGAATATTAATGCGGAGCATTTTAGTTGTGAAGCAAAAACAATTCTTTTGACTTTATATTATTAACTTCAAGTGTCAAAATATGATTACTGATGCTAAATGTTTCTTTTCGTATTTTCAAAGTACCTTATTTTATAACATCAGACCTCTTCAATAGATTACATTGTCAATTAATTAATTAATGACACAATTATGTCGTTAATTGTAACAGTTCTCATTATTATTACGGTATATTTTAAATACTAGAGTAAGTTACAGTAGCATATACTGTCACGGATATTTTATTAGATCATTTAAAGAGGATTCCTTTTTTCCCACATATTTTTTGGTTTCTTGAAAGGTTTTCGCAGCGCACGTAACGGAAGCCCTCATAGACAAATAATATGATTTACCCTTTTTTTCACATTTTCCATTATTTCTTTGCACCTATTAGTAGCAGTGTGATATTATATAACCTTCTTCGATAAGTGGACTATCCAGCAGAAAAAAAGTTTTCGAACCAATAGGCCCTAAGGCCAACCTTTAACGCGTTAGCGTTGAAGCAATTAAACGAACGTTTCAGCTTTATAATATTAGTATATATTATTATTTAGTTGATCAATTTTTTAAATATATATACAGCGGTATATATTGCTGCGAACTATATTGCGATATTTACCTCTAGGAGGGGTTCGTTCATGGGGCCTCTGCCAATACCAGGGGGCAGGTACCAAACCTCCGTACCGGCCTGCTAGGGCACTCCATTGGGAAATAAGACCCAGCCTGTAACAATAAGAAAATAATATGTTTTACACTTATCTATTACAAAAATGTTTTCGAGTAGGAAAAAATGTTTGAAAACTTTAATATTTTCACTTTAAATGTAACTGTCGTAAATGCAATTACATAATTTAAAATCGAAAACAAATGAAACATTTTTTTAGAACAACAGCACGGAACGCTGACCATGCCGGTTCTAGTCCTGCCCGAGTCAAATTTTTTAAAATTTATTTTCGATTTTTTACATTACAATCGGATAAGATATACAAGTGAAATAAATTATATGTTAGATATTAAAACTTTATTTTTTAATTTCATCTTGTTATTGTTTTGTCACATCACACTCAAGTTATAAGTTAACTTAAAAAACCTAATACATACGTAAACTTATAATTGGGGTTGCTTTTTCAAAAAAAAAAATTTATGATATTAAGTAAAAAACTAATGCTTATTTAGTAGACTTTTTCTATACGAGAGAAAACTTGTATACTTATAACAATTCAGTGTATTGCAAACTGAACACGAAAGAAAAAGAATATTTACGCTTGCGAACATTTGTCTATATATAAAATTGTAGCGATCATAGCAAAATAAAAAATGAAACAACAGATAAGGTAGAGAGGTAATAAATCACTCCGGGAGTAAAATGTTGGCTTTTTCTTTTCTTTCTTTTTTTTTTCAAAGCGAATCTCGACAGACACCGACAAGCTTTCTCGATTACCAGTCGTTAGTCGATCGAATCTCGATATATAAATATCGATTTGGAAACAAAGAGGATTGGCGCGCTCCCTCGAGTGATAGTGATGTGCTTCATTATCGATAGATCTAACGCTAATGGACATATTGATAATCTCGTTCTACGAGTAATTTATAAAATGATTATTTCTCTGCTAATATAACACACTTTAAATGTGAAATCCTCTTCCCAAGAGCGAGCACATTTCGGTTCTCACTGATCATCTTTTTAAAATTGATCAGATTTCTGGGCCCAGTTCACCTTAACGCAATGGCAACAAGTTAAACATTTGGTTACAAAGGCAGTGACACGTCTTATCGACAAATAATATATTTTGGGATTCAAACACAAGGAATCTATTTTGTATTTAAATTTGATCTATTTATTTAATGTAATACGAACAGAAACTTGAAGTGTGCTAATTTAAGTCTTGATAAGGCCTATGATTTAAGTCCTAAAAATTGTGTAGGTATCTCTATTTAACCAATGTTTTATCAACATTAGGAAAATTTCAAATACAGAATAAAAATGTTACATAAATTGTAAATAAAACAACTATTAAGACAAGGTACATTAAATAATGTAACTTAAACAAAGTGGTTATACTTAAGTAATACCTTTCATCCTTTTAATATAAGAATGGCGACGTGCTACGGCGTAGGCAGCGTAGCGTCCTAGCCGTGCTACGCTCGTAGAGTGATTGTAGCAAGTTATGCCTTTAATTTTTTACCGTTTAAATAATTGTTTCTTTGTTTTTTTTTTTATTCTTAGCTCCTTTTTTATTGTGAACACTGGCGGTAACTCATTTGCCTTAGTGCTAAGTGGCTATATAAAATGCTTTTCATAGGAATAGTTTTACAACGGCTACAATATCGGTAAACTTAGAGTACTGACTGCCCCAGCACGTTTTGACATGGATGTACGACTTCTTTTTTATTTTGGATCCACTGATAATTAGTATAAGAACAATATCAAGTAAAATATTTAAATAGTCCCAGGTAGAATAACGCTACCGCATTACAATTATGACATTAAATGTTTTTGGGAATCTTACGTTTATCATTGTATTTGCTCATAATAAGCCACAATCTATCGCTAGATATTATCTTAAGTTAAAGAACATCACTAGTGATATACAGCGAAGTTTATCGATATCTTAAACAATAGCGATTGGTTGCTTTATCGACAGTAATTTAGCACGCTGTACTACTATTGTGTAGCTATGAGAATATGGCTCTGTTTTAATGGTCTTTGAAGACGTGAGCAATAAGGCTCTATGGAATTCCATGGAGGATGAAACGAGTCGTAAAGCATTGGTTTTGATTAGAAGCGAGATGTTTATAATTCATGTGCCAATCTAGCTTTGTTCTTAGCTCAAAGTGAGTGGAAATGTATAAGAAATCTTATCTAAAGCTATAATTTAATCGTTCCAATCGGAAACTAATTTGAAAACTCACGCAAACCGTTAAGTCGAAAGCGAAAAAAAACTGAGCGAACCAATTTGCATTGGTCTCGCATTTAATCCCAGCAGGGAAGTTCCAAACTCAAATTCCATTACACGATAAAGTACTGCTTCCTTTAAAAGCGGAAAGGAAGAAGCCGCGCCGTGATTGGTCGGCTCACCGCGCTCTGATTGGCCGTCTCGTGACCCCGCCTCCCTCGAGGGGTATAAAAATCGATGACCGTCAACCGGCGCGATTCTTTTTGCTGCGGCGCGTCTGCTCGACACTCCACACTTGTTACTAATAATAGCGTTTGTACTTTCTTTTATAGCATAAAGTGTTTACTTGTATCTCTTGTCTGTGCAAGCGACACGGGAGCCTTTTGTTGGTAGATAGGGAGGTATTCTCGGACGCGCTTAAAAGCTAAGAGATATCTTTTCACTTATTTCCTAGGTTCACGAGTCACAATAACGTAACGGCCATTCTGTAGAACGGGGCTTTTAACCGCTTAACTGTCAATATAACATAGTATTTATTTGGTCGCTTTAAGAGAAAATTAGAGTTTTAATGGCCGCTATTATGAGATAGTTTTACGAAAAATTTAAACGTTTGTGATAAACACAAAGTGCTGTACGAATGAAATGTTTTCGGACAATTGTTATCTCGTACAATGCCTCGTTTTATTGTTCACAAGTAATATTTAAATGAGAACATTTTTAAGGTTATTAATAACGCGGCGGACAGAACAATCGCCATTTGCTTCCAATTCAAATACAAATTCTACCAGAGGCAATAATTATTGTAGACAAAATAAACATAAAAAAAACGAAATAAATAAATATAAATAAGCGTTGCCAGACTTGGAACGATTTTTTACTCATAAACAATTTCTTAAAAAAATACCACACAGTATATACAACCCTTACCCTTCGAATGAATTCCTTAAAAATCTCGAAATATATCAAATTCTCTTAAAGGATAAGGAGAACTTCCCCTTATCTAAGTACCAATCCCTGAATGCAGTCAATTAGACGCAAAATTATAAGCGGAGCGGATAAGCGTTGATTTTTAATAACCATTTTTATTGAGTTTTGTTACGATTGATATAAAAAACACTACGAAAATATTAATTTACTTGATTTTTCAGTTTACGTTAATATGCCATATTATGAGACCTAATCATCTTATTAAATAAAAATACCTTCTACTCACATTTATTCTTACAATTTCTGTGTAATGCTAGTACGTAACTTAGCCTTAAAGCCTTCTGATACGCAAGACCGTTCCGTTTACCAAATGGAATTTGCATCCAATTTCACAAATATGTTTTATCATTTTGCGTTTCCTGAAAACACAAAAATGTTTCCACCATTCTTCTGCTCAAAAATAGATTCTAGGAAAAATAAACTAAGTATAAAGTTCTCAAACAAATGTGTTGTTAACTTGAAAATTTGTTTAATAAAAATCGCTCCCGCCTTTAAATCATGCCATACGCGGATCCATTATATTATTTATATTTAAGAGGGTAAGTAGCTGTCTCACCCCAAGACGGCTAAGATTCGGCCCACCCCATCTGGACCTATTAGGAGTATTTAGGGGATCGCAAGTATGTGTATAATCTGTGCTTTTTAACGCGTGTAATAAGGTTTTATTAGTTTTATTAATAACCTCTTGATGTTATTTACGAGTAAAAGGGCGGTTTCCGAGGGTAGATTCTCACAGATGTATCGCTTATATAGTGAACGCTTTTCTTATGATAAATATTTAAAGTTATGTAATGATATTTATATGCATTCCCGTCTTCTAGGCAATCAAACAGTTGCTTTTTAATTAATGACTCATTTACTTTCTTAACATGACACCCATTTATCACGTATTCTATTAATATTTTGACAATTGACACTATACCTTTGATTTTAATACATGGGACATCATATATTCTTCTAAGTACTAAAAACTAATCAAATTAACTTATCTATCGTCACAGAACCCAGTAATTAATACAAAACGGAAATCCTTTTTTATTTTTCCTTAGCGTTTTCCTTCTTAAATTACATAATTAAGCGTCTAAAGATTTTTACAAGAGCTGATGTTGTAGGGGAAAAAAGTTTAAATGTCAACATTAATAGCGGGAAAAGTGACAGATGGTTTACAACATAAACAAAATGTCGGACGTAACTGGAGGCGTAATTAAGAAGTGGGGGCGCGAATAAAGACGTTTACGGGATTCTTTCGTTGTTTTATTTAATTATTTGATTTGTTTTTGTAATCACCATAAATAGGGACATTTTTGTGCGAATTTGAGACTCTTGTAAAAACGTGTTTCATACAATATTATATAAACATGGATTAAAAAATATCTAGATTTAAAGAAATCGTTGCGACAATTATTTTTATAAAATTGTATTTATACAATGACATCATATTAATAACGTAGAAAATATTAAAGTTTTCAAAGATTAACGTGAGGTCTTATTTTTGATAGAATTAAAATTTTATAAGAAACAATAATATAAAATGTTATAACTAATAAGTCTCAAAATTTGAAATAATACGTTTAGGGAATATGTTAGAAAAATAATTTAACTAGCTAATTTAACTACTTTTCCTGCCAAGCCAAATAAAACATCAAACGTCCACTCTCAGAGAATGTAAACAAGACCCGACAACTACAACCCATTACGCATTTACGTGTGTGTCTGATAAAAGGGTCATTTTTACCCGCGAATTTTACGCAGTGTTGCCAGATAAAGGGTCGGCCGAAACTACTTGTTTCCCGTTGATTAGATGGGGTAATGATGTTTCGTCTAAGGATTACGAGGACTTGAGTTTATTTTGTTGGCGTTGTTGGCATTAAGTTAACATGTTATTCGATGTTGCCAGTTTAGTCTCTTTAATAAAAATCTGTTTTTATTCTAGCAACACGCAAAGCTTTAAATCTAGAGAACACAAAAATAATATAGCATAGTATGAAGCAAATAAACAAAATTAAACCAATAAGTATATCAATATTTCTAGTAAAAATATTTCTACTTTATACATTATCAAATAATGAAAATTTATACAAAGCAATTCGGTATATAGATATATATTATGATAGAAGAGGCATGGGAAAACAAGATACGCTCTAAACCTACTTTTGGCTTTGAATATTCAGAAATTCAGAGACGGACAGCGAAACGCGATTCCTGGTTCGTGACCCGAACGAATTTTTGATATTTCAACCACCAGAAAAATTATAAATTTATTGCAAACATGTTGCACTTAGCGGGGGTTGAACCGCAATCCGTTGATTAGCCGTACATTGTTACCATTACACAGACGAGACCGTATATAATATACGCTGATTTCAGATAGTAGATAAGTGAAATGAGCTATTTCTATTGAATTCTATTGAAAGGATTTAACTTAGCCAACTAGCGGTCAGCTTACTCTACAACGAAATTGAGTTATGCTTCGTTTACTTTCAAGATAGTTATCCTCAGTAAAAAGCATGATACGGGTCTCGGATGTAACATCGAAAGAAATTTCTTGTGTTACTTAATGAAACAACAATCCTATACCTTATTAAACTATAAGCGTAAATATTTGTATATTATTTATTGTAGGTATATATTAGTAAAGTAGATTTAGCATATCATTGTTTTGTTAACAACAATATCTCCTCATGATGCCGTCCGCTCGTGATGGCGAAACGTCGAGCCTCTCTCGCTTAACAGAGCCAATAATCAATGATATGCTGAACGATGGCCGTGAAAGCATTTCAGAATTTATTAAAGTAATATACTTTAGTCCTCTAACTAGAAATTTATTGCGAGTAGTAAAGCTAGTGAATTGCAATTATTAGACTAAGCCAGTCGAGTGGATTGCAAACGAGGCATACGCTTGAAAACTTGCTCAATCTAAGTTTAATTATTATCAGCTTATCAATATCATAAGTTTACGAGTTCCGGTTAAAGTTTTGAATAGACCGTTAAAATAAATTGTTTTAATACAATAATTTAAATAAAACACTTTAACGGTTTAAAACGCGATATATTAGTTAAACTTATTTAAAAATGATTTTTAACTTCGGCCCGGTCAGGGGCGGCTGCCACGGCTGCTGCAAAAGATCCAAAACGTCGCGTTTTGAACCGTTAAAGTGTTTTATTTAAATGTGTACTACTCGCGTAAACTATAGATAGTATTTAAAACAATCATTATTAAAATTTGTTTATAAAAATATTGAAGGTTTTGGGTTTGAGTCGCGGAGTACGGACGTGTTCATCCCATGCCCCTCGAAGGAAAAAGGGACTTCATTTTGTGTTATTTTGAAACACAGATAATTTTGTTAGATTCCCTAATCGATGTTTTAAAAGTATTTTATACAAATATGTATGTATGTATATAGATGCGCAGTCGATCTATTTTTATAAAACTTGACGGCTTTTTCATCTGTAAATGGTGGTTCGTGACCCGGATAGAATTGTCGATATTCCTATTAATGCTATGCATTTAATATCCAGATTTCCAGACAAATAAAAGTAAAATGTTTCAGACAATCTATAAATTGATTAAAAACATATTGAAAACTTTAATTTTTTCACATGATGGTACTGTATTGGATAAAACTCGATTATAACCTTGAAAAAAAAATTAAGACACATGAATTAAATCGGCATCCATAGCGTCAGAGCAATAGCACAGAACGCCGGTTCAAGTAATTCCAGTGGCATATTATATATTTTTTAATTCTGAATCGATTTTTAATTAATTAGATTGTCTCAACCAATTTAATACTAGCCATACAGGGCTACCATTATACCAACCAGTCAGTCGACATAATCACACCAAATCAAAGACAAAATTGATATAATACGTACCTAGAGAGCATAGCATCGTTGGCGCTTCCGAAGTGATTAGCAGCGATCGCCGCTTCCAAGACATTCGTTTCCCTCCTCGGCTCCGTCCTATTCAATATAGAGCTAATTGAGAAACTGGTGTAGGGGGCGCTGCCTGTCGCTTTGTCGTCTTTCTTCAGGTCGTAGAATGGCGACTTCTGGTCCTTCCTGGATGGAGATGAAGGGATATCTGGACTGCTGGCTCCAGATACCACGTTCACCTCGATATCGTTGTCTTGCGATGATGGAGAATCCATGTTTTAGCACCTCATTTTACTGTAACCTGTAAGAAAAGATAAAAGTGAAAGATGGAAAAAGTCTGTGCGTTTTTCATTGCTAAAATATATTTTCCCCTTATCTTATCAATGCCAACCAAATATCTTACAAAAATACAAGCATTTATATAATTAGTATTTTAAACAGTCATTTAAGGATTAATAGTACAAATATCTTAGATAAATTTCATTTATTTAAGTTATATGTACATAGTCTGCGTAATCCAAATTAAATTAATGACACTTCAATACGAACAGAATTCTTCTGATCGTTGAGTTGTAATTAATCAATTCAAATATTCTAATTTAAAAATCCGACTAAAATACTTAGAATCAATCCCAAAGATTTCTAGGTTTCAAATAACTCTACAAATATTTAATTAAAAGGAAAATGTACACTGATAACGGTTCAAAACACAAAATGTATTAGTTAACTTATTTCAATTACGGTCCGATGTTTCAGGTGACCGCGGCTGCTGAAAAGCATCCGAAAGCTCGTGCCATAGTTAAGATAATTTGTAAATAAGTTAACTAATACGTTTCGCGTTTTGAACCGTTAAAAGTGTTTTATATAAATTTGTATCTTTAGTACTTAGTCAAGTATGAGACATCACTGAGAATCAGCGTTGTGCCTACCTTCTTCTACTCATAATAAAATTTTAACTAATTAATAATAATTGTACTTTTGTGTTTTTTTGTTATTTTAAATAAATGGAAATGTTGAATAAGATAATAACTTCAAGCACAGTAGATTTACAAAGATAAAACAAACCGCTAACAATATTCTAACGATGTTAAAAATCCTAACATCAAATATTCAGTAATAGGGAGGCTACAAGAGATTTGTTGAGGACCCGAGAGATTGTTCAGAACAATAATGCACTTAACTGTACTGAATTATTGATTGGCGTCTTCTTCGATTAAGTTAAGCTGATGTACCCGCGGTCAGATATTGAATGGGTGAAGCTAAGAGAAGGAAACAACAACGCATTATACTTTCGCGTTTTAATCCGTTAAATATCCTATGTAAAATCTATAAAATGTGGGCTATACTTATTCAAACACTACACAAAGGTAGACATAGTATAGCTTGGAAGCTTCTAACTGTGCCATGCCCGACCGAAACACAAAAATATTGTTCAAACTTAGCCACAAGTCTATTCACCATAGTAAAATTCCTTGTGCCACCGTAAGGCATGGGGCAAACACATTTCTGTGGCTGTTTCATCTATTTATCACACTTACACACAAATGTTGATCAGGCTTCTTTACTCAGTCCGACCGAAATAATTCTGAATAGCCCGGGAGTCGAGTTCTGGACTAGACAGGAATCTAGTGCTTGTACTAGACGTATAACCACTAAACAACGGCAGTGATTATTTACGGGTTTCCCAGAATTTATTACGTAAAAAACAAGTGAAAAAGTTTTTTTTTTAATTAAATTAACGAGAAATTAAAAATCTAGTTACGAATTGAGCTACTGTGTGTCCTACAACTTTGAATTTCTTCAACCTATCGATACGTGTAACTCTCGCGCAATATTATTTAAATTTAAATAGATTTTGAATTTGGAACATTTGAAGAATTTCAAAGTTTTCAAAGGAAGACTATGTCTAGTGTTATATTAGGACGACTCGGGCACAAAATGGTCTCCAGCGAGGTGTATGACGTTTAGCACAACTCGAAAGCGATCGCACGGAACACTGTGAGGTCGTCAATAGCCGTATTTTAAATGCGAACCGTCATTATTAAACGCAGCGGTCAGATAGCGGAGATACAGCGAAACGTATATGTTCATTTTATATTATTTGAGCTTTTCAGCGCGAATCAACCGTTTGATCGCCACTTTATATTTATTGATATTTGCGTTAGGATTTAGTTCATGTTAATGAATAGAACTGCAGTACACATACATTGGTGTTTTAGCACAAGATGTTTTGAAACGAGTTTTTATGGTTTAAAACGCGAAATGCAAAGTTAGATAGTTTAACTACGATCCCACGTTTTGACATTTCGACTTTAGTGGACTTCATCATTTAATGACATTGATCGGAGGTGAAAACTTCCTATTTCAAAATAATGTTGATCAATTATTGAAATCAGTCTAGTACTTGAATATTGGATAAAATTTGTTTCGGCCGGATTTCTCGTCCAGATGCTATACTAATATTATAACGCTGACGAGTTTGTTTGTTTGAAGGGGCTAATCTCAGGAATAACTCGTTCGAATTGAAAAAATATTTTTCTGTGAGATAGACGATTTATCGAAAAAGGCTATATATTACATTACTTTGCGATCAATAAAAGAGAAGAAATAGAGGGAAATGTAGAGAAAGCGGAGAAAACTATTCATCTTTGATGGCTTCGGTTGTGTTCGCTACGAAAACGGTTCAAGAAACCTTAAATATCTATAAAAGAATTGATCTTCTTTAAATTATCCAAAAAGTATTTATTAATTTATTCACTCTTTATTAAACAAAAAATAATAATACAGACAAACAGATAAAATTTATAAAGCTAAGTAGGTTGCTAGCAAGGAGAAATAACAATTTTTTTTATAAAGTCACGTACATATAATAAATTCATATATTTGTGGAAGATGTAAGTCAAAAATCAATTACAACTGCTCTCATTGAAAAATAATCGAATACAAACATTTATGGGAAAACAGAGCATTTGTTAAATGGTTTTAGTAACCTAACACCGCGATCAATCCAGGCCAGGTGTTGTGAATCAGTGAGGTGTGCCGAAATCGATACTTTAGAATCGATTAACATTCCTCGATAATCGATTTTTTGCTAATTATAAATGCGCATGTGTTATGTCGATAACGATGCTAATTGGCTAGATATGTATTTAAAACGAAGGTTATTATCATATTATTTTAGTAAATGTCGAAACTCTCACCGAATATATCAACTTAAATACTGTCTGTAGCTTACGCGAGTAGTGCACATTTAAATAAAACGCTTTAACGGTTTAAGACGTGATATATATTAGTTAAAATTATTTTTAACTTCGGCCCGACGTTTCGGATGCTTTGCAGCAGCCGTGGTCACGGGGAGACTAAAGATAAAGGATGTCTCTTACGTCAAAGTAAAAATTGCTACGCTAGCGCCATTTGTTCCGTTGAAGTTGGTATTTTCGCCAATTATTTCGCTATATGCTAAGTTACTTGAAATTCAAATTTAGAATTTTTCTGAATCATGTTGGACTTCCCACTGTGAGGAATTGAAAATCTATTCGAATCACGAACTGGTCTACAGATGCAAAATGCACGAAGTTTAATTCAGTTTCAGTCGATGAATTCCTGAATATTTAAGGCCAAACAAGGTCGACAGCGCATCGTGGATAATTTTTAAGCAAGGAGTTTATTTGATGGTAGGTTAATACCCCAGCTATTTAATATCTAACCAAGATACACTGTCGACCTTTTTTGGCATTGGATATTAGTCCAAAGCGTTTCTGAAAAATTCTAAATTCAATAGAAACATTTCGGACGGGGGGGGGGGGGGTCGATCCATTACTATGTTATTTAAAAGATAATCTTTAGTTTTATTAAAAACATTTCCAAAGTTAAAAATAACCAATAAACCATATTCAAATGTAGAAGGATGTTAAATATAAAAACCTTGATTAGGACGACACCAGAACAGAGTTAGACCCTCCGTCATAAAAGCTATTAGCATAAAGACAATTAAAATTATAACAAAGTTAACCCTAAAGTGCGGTTATCACGGACAGATGGCCACTTTGCGATACGATCTAACCCGTAAACTTTACGGCTAACCCTATATGCTAATTGCGACCACACTTTGACGATTAAAAATAACTCTACTTCGTCGCCTACATAAAATCTTGCATTTACATCGGCTAAATATGTAGTGCACTTAAAGTACGTGAAAAATAATAAAACTTGGCGACAGAAGAAGTGGCAGCGAGTTACTTGCCGGTTCTTCTCGTTCGTTCTACGCCCTTGATTTAAGAACTGGAAGTAAATGTAGATTTGGAGTCTTTAGTTTTTAATTGGTGTGACGTCATAAGTGTACCTAGTCGTAGCACCTACGTGAATAAATTATTTTTGACTTTGACAATGAATTAGAACTACGATTTTGTTTGTCTGATCTACTGTTGCCCTAATAATAAGCCGATTTTGATAGACGCGCTAATTGATGGCGAAGATAATCATAGACTGTAGACAACTTATAGTTACTTATATTAAACACATACAACATACATTTTAACTACTCGACGGAACGGTAGCTTTGCAACAGCGGGGGTAAAAATACGTAGTAAATAACTTATATCTTTCGCGTTTTAAACCGTTGAAAGTGTTTTAATTTTCTTCTGGCTTATTTTTAATTAAATGTGTAATACTCGCGTAAAGTACAGACAATGGGTAGATGATTCAAAGATGATTTATAGTGTTGGTATTGGTATATGAAAATAGATCTATGTTATATATCTAATGGAAAAATTATAAAATTGAAACTAAATCTTCCACTTTCGTATACGCGTCGTTTCATTATACTTTTATTGACTGGTTGTTAACGTCTATTATACTATTAAGTAAAATAATTAATGAAGATACTACTATTTGTTAGATAATCCAATAAATAAAATTAAAATAAAATCTTTAATATAATAAATAAAACAATACTATATTTAACTTCTGGTCTACCAAATTAAACTTCGTTACGTAGTCCGTACACGTATTTCGATATTTAGCCCGCCAAAGCAAATATCGTCATTTGATCTTGATATATTTTGCATTTAATACTGGTAAATAAAATAGTATGATCTTTCATAGCAAATGTCATCATTGGACCCTGATATATTTCCCGTTTAAAACTGTTAAAAGTGTTATACTTAATTTTTACTGTTAAAATACAGACTATATTGATTACTTTGTTGCAATGACTAAAGAAATTACTTTATTACAAAAAGGGTTAGTAATAATTCACACCGATGCGCCTATTAAA